GAATGCCTCAGTTAAATCTCAAAGCACCATTTGTGGATGTTTGACACTACTTCAGGTTATTAGCTTCTCTTTTGTTCATTTTTTCCAACTTCATTTTGTTTCTTCTGTAAGTCTTTTGATGAAGGACCTGGTGCGGTTCGGTCAGGGTTTTAAAAAACGGTCCGCGACCGCGATTTTGGCTGCGATATAGCGGTTTCGCCGCCGTCCCAGTTACCCGCGACAGCCGCAATAGCGCCCCCGCAATAGCGCCCGCGACAGCCGCAATCAAGGTAAATCCGAAATAACCAAAAACGCGATCGCGACCGCGATTTGAAACCCTGGGTTCGGTTTTTCTTGACAAAAGGGAGCAGTTAGGATTTCAAAAAAATTGTAAATGAAGTTTTTTTTAATGCTGTTGCTGAATAGCCTTTAGTTAATATCCTGCTGTTGATAATTAATATTCTTTCTTAGTGCTGGAATTACTATCATCTAAATATCGGTCGACCAAAGCTCAACAGGGACCCTATCCACGACCATTTCCCTTTTGTACTTAGGTGGAAGGGAAAGCAGAGTGGTCCAACAACAAACCGTGATGTAGTTTTCTATCGTAAGGCACTAGACTCCCTAGAACCATGTGATGTAAGTTCTTTGTTTTTCTTTCTATTTTTCTTTGTTTGTGGTTTTTTTAGAAATAGAAATTATATTCGCACTTTCCATATGTGAAAGAACCAACTTCTGTCCAAAAGAAATGAAAGAGAAAGAATGATACAGTTATATTTTGTTGAAAAATAGGTAGAGTGGCTTCCTTACAAATACATGGATAGTACAGTAATCCCAGTGGAAATTAGGAATACTTTGGCATTGGGGAGGTCTAAAACAATGTTAATATGCTTTGACAAAGCAGAAAGGCACCTCCCTAATCGTGTCCTAAGGCAATATGGCATGCTTCAACTGATCCCTGAAGATGTAGCACAATGGGTAAGAAAGAGCCGTGGAGTTGACGGTGGGGTGGACTTGTCTGGGAAAATGGAATCAGAACTTAGTGAATGGGAAGATCGTGCACTCCATATTGTGAAAGGTGATGATGATGCAGATGAAAACGAGTACATGGTGTGGTACATGAGAATTACTCGTAAAGTTGTAGGGAGACCTATTTCTCTCTCTTCGGAGTTTCAAAGAACAGTAAGCCTATACTTAACTAGTTAACTAATGTCCTGTCCTATTCCTTGTTAATTTCATGTAACACTCTTTTCTTGAACAGATTGGTGGTGTGCGGGAAATTTCTTACTTAGCCGACACTTTCCCTCTGAAAGGACTGCAGCCTGAACAATTTGAATCAATTTCCAGGATTAGAGCTATTGCACAAGAATGCTTGAGAGACCAAGTTGGAGGCCAGATTGTAGTGTCACCCATTGGGGGAACTGATCTTGGCAAGAGGAGTAGGGGGAAGGAGAGGGTAAGAAGAAAGGTTACTGGGAAACGGAAGCGTAGTAATGATCCCATGGAAGGTCATGGAGTTAGTGAGGACGAGTCTCCGTATTGTGGCATGGTTGTCGAGGTAGATCACTTACATCTACAGCACGAAGACAATGACGTGCATCTTCTGCCATTTTGTACTACAGTTGTCGAGGGTGAAAATGGACTGCAATTGGATGAACCTAATAAAGTTGATGAAATGCAATTTCGTGATACAACTGACGGGATTGATGCCTCACATTTTTGTGACGAGAGTAATGATGTTGACGACTCAAATATCCCTCACGCTATCAGTGAAATTGATTTGCAAAATACCGAAACAGCGGAAAATGTTATTCTGCAGTCGTCTAATCTACCTAATGCGACCAATGATACCAATGGTTCAGAAATTCATAACACAAACAAGATCCCTGATGACTCACAATTATGTAATGCTACTGATGGCGTCAATGACCCCCAAACTCAAGTGGCTACTGATGTTAATGAATCAGAAACTCATCATGCAACTGAGAATATCGGTGAGTTGGAACCCTCTTATGTTTCCATTCATAGTGATCAGGAAACGGTAAAAGCGGAAGCAGAGACTGTTCTGCAGTTACCTCATGAAAACACCGAGGATCTTCCGCAGCAGGGTGAGACCAGCGTTGTACAATAAAGTCGAAGCATTATCTTGTGATTTTCTGAAGGTAATCCTCTGACAATGGACCAAATGTTTTTTTGCTAGAAAAATGTATAAGTTTTGATATGTGCCTTGCACTCCTGTCTGCTATTTTGATGCATATTCTTTCTTGACAGGCTGCCAAAAACGAACTGGTCTCTGGCCTTCTTTTAGAAGCAAAATTTATTATTCAAAGCACAATAGGTCAAAGTGCCTAGTTTGTTCTAATGACATTCTGTGGCTTGTAGAATTAGCTCTGATTAATAGAAAAACAATTTGTTTTCCATTTTAAGATCATGTTTTGTTAGGAAATTATGTCGTTTTCAAGCGGCTTAATCCGAATCGAGTTCATTTTTGTCTCGAGTATTCTTCCATTTCTTCCGTAGGTATGGCAAGGATGATGTTTGATGTGTAATGGAAGTATTTCTTTTATGGCATATGCATATATGAAAGTGTATTGAGTGGATGATCTGTTAACCCATAGGCCATTACTATTAGCTCCTGGCCTTCAATAGAATATGATTTTATCATAGTTTAAGCAGTATATCTGGGATGATCACGAATACCTATCAAGAATGAGAGCACCAATCCAAAGGTCATAAGTGTAACATCTCAAACTGACTGAGTTGAACATTAGATGGGGTATATCACATTAATTGATTAAAGTTACTGGAAATCGAATTGAAATAAAACCGAATAAATAAGCATTCAAACACATTATATTATTAACTAAATCATGTATGAGAATTCTATGACATTTCAAAAGGGGTTAAAATATATTTTTACAAAGTTGAGTTTGTGAATTCTGAAATCAACATTGTAGTTTTGAAACCCATCCTTTTTCTCAAAGTTGGATTGTAACCCAATTAATGACCGATTGGAACGACGACGATAAATTTAATCTTGAAAAAGAAAATAATAGAAGTACGATTAAAATATACGACAAGGACAAACAAAAACATGCATAATTTTCACAAGAAAATGTAAAATTTTGTTAAACGAAAAACTCAAATATGCAAATTAGATTTTCAAAGTTAATTCTAGAGAGATAGAAAAGATGAAAGTGATTAAGGATTGATATTTAAACTGTCACAATAACTAAATGTATTAATTGTAATTAATAAAAATTGAATTGATATCAAATTAACTTTTATCATTAACTTAATTAGAAAATTTTATTTAAAACTTTAAATCAATTAGGCTTAAATATACAAAGATGTCCAACCTATGCCCCTCTTTTCAGTTTAGTGCCTAATATTTATTTCATTCCAATTTGGTGCCTAACGTTTCTTTTCGTTACTCGAAATGGGTCAAGCCATGACGGACCATTAGTTTTCTCCGTTAAGTGACACATGTCACAATCTCGTAATTTTGAAATTTATCTTTTTAAAAAATATTAAAAATATTATTGTATTTATAAAAAAAAACCCTTTTAATTACAAAAAAAAGTCTCAAAACCCCTAAAATCCCCAAATCCTAACACTAACCCACCGTCGCCCTCCTTCCCGGCCACGACCACCGTTGTCGACGTGGCCCTTGCTATCATCCTAGTTATAAGTCGATGTAGTTGTCGTCGATTAGTCGTCGAAGTCGCTTGGGTTTGCGATTTCCATCCTAGGGTTCGCGGGGTATTCACCGTCGATCAGTTCGATTTCATAGGGGTTTTGGTCGCCGGGGGTGAGGTCAGGTGGAGCTTCGTCGACGGCAAAGAGCGATGGTCGGTGTGGGTTTAGGGGTTGAAATGAAGGTTTTTAAAGTTTTGGGGTTATTTCAAAATTTGTGTTTTCTTTTTTAAAATATATATAATTTTATTTTTTTAATTTTATATAAAAAAATTTAAAATTATCATACTGTGACACATGTCACTTAACGGAGAAAACTAATGGTCCGTCACAACTTAACCCATTTTGAGTAACGAAATGAAATGTTAGGCACCAAGCTGAAACGAAATAAACGTTAGGCATTAAACTGGAAAAACGGGCATAGGTTAGTCCCTTTTGTATACTTAAATCATTCAATTAGCATAATTAGTTTAAAAATCGATTTAGTTCCAATAAAACCAGTCTCTGAAAATAATGAGAGGGCAAAATTTAGAAATTTGAAGTCGTGTTCTTGTCACTTCATAAATACCAAATATTTTAATTTTAAGAACAATTGTGGAAATTAATTAAGAGTGTTATTTACTGAAAAAATTTAATGAATGTCACGATGAGAAACATTACATGGAGATTGACTGACATAACATAGAATAGAGACATGAAAATTAATTTATAGTTCATTGGTTTTAAAGAATAACTTGTTTTATTAATTCGTTTTGTGTTTAGATTGCTAGTATTTGTTTTTGATAAAAAAAAATTGGTATTATATTTTACATAATTTGTTATAGTAATTCTTTTTCTAAAAAATAAAATATTTTTTATCATTTTTATAATATATATATTTGAACAAATGTTACAAATCTCAACTAGGGGAGGTGGAACGGAAATTTTAACCACGTGTTCTAGAAATTGTTGACAAGTTTATAAATTTTCTTTTTGAATAAAAGTTTATATATTTTCTAAACATTAATAGTTTGTTTTAAATAAATTTTGACAATTTTTATATTTTTAAGATAAGATCATTTAATTTTTCATAATGGAATGATTTTAGCTAATGTATTATTGAGTTGCATAATAAAGAAAATAGCGCCGTTACGGGAGCTTAAAAATATGTACAGGCAGCAACTAGGCTTCCTCAATAAAGGAAGCCTTACTTATTATTAACCTATAAAATATAATCAATCATTGCAACCATTTACACCAAACGACATTAGACAATTCATAAAGGATATTACTACGGCTAAAGGTAGTCAACTTTGGATTTTTTTGACAGTGTAAATAGTAGATTGCCCACAACAACATATCAACTGGCATTAAAGAAAGCAGTGCACTATTAGCATTGTTCACCCTACCAATATGCACATTAGCATTTATGGATCTCAAATGGGAAAGTGTTAAAAATTAGCATAAGGCATATGATTTCACTTAAAACTAGATTACTCTTTCTGTCAATTCAGGAAAGAAAATTTACTCCCCAGTGTTTCAGCAGAAACTTCACTCGAAAGGCCGTCAAGTGGAAACTGAGTCATTCTCGTCATCTTTGAGGTCAGAAAAGAAAGGGTCCTTGAGAAGCTCGGAAGCGGAAGGTCGTGCCCTTGGCTGTGCTATGCATTTCTCAATAAATGCCTTCACTTCTGGATCTGGAACCGTGTTCAAGGCTAGGGGTCTCACGCCAGAGGTGACCTTCTTGTATATTTTGACAACACTATCACATTCACTATAAGGTATTTCCATTGTAACCATCTCAAGCAGGCACATTCCGAAAGAGTATATGTCAACCATCTCAGTGTAATCTTCCTCGTACAGCTCCGGTGCCATATATTCCGGTGTCCCTAATATGGAATGTGCTGCATGGCTTCTCCCAACTATTGCAGCAAGTCCCAGATCGCCAATTTTCACCTGCAGATAAAATTAAAACAAATGTGAATATTAATTGTTTGTTGGTCTTATCACTAAAAATATTTTGCTTAAAGCTACTATGCTTAACCCGTAAATGAGGAAGAAAAATCCAGCTTCCTCAAATGACCAGATGAAATAATATGGATCCAAACATATCGCCTGCATGTAATCTCTCATTCCCTCACAACAAGAACCTAAAACATAAAGCCTGCTCAACTACATTGAACTGACCATTCAGTGACTCAGCAAGCTGCTTCATGTTCCCAAACTCTTCTCTAAAGTTCTCTCGGTCTATTCCTTTATTCATCCTTATTCTCAGCCAAACTTAGTTTATTTCACCTATTCTACACCTGATTAAACACCACCTAGGCACCTACTACTGTCCTCTACACAAAGGGTCTACACCAATCTTCCTCTCCCTCGTTTCTTACTACATTTCGTTTCACTTGTTTGCAACACTTCCTTTCTCAATCAAAGAACCACATTTATCTAACATTAGATATATGGCCAAAAGGCTGTCATCAGCTACTAAATATATTTGGCTATAGAGTATAGATAATTTTACTGCCTTTTGTGTATTCAATTCAAGTCTTGGAAAAGAAGAATAACTTAGCCACCTAACTAGTCGTCTATGAAGTTATTGTTATAAGGAAATAACATAAGAGCGCAGGTTATGTCTCATAAAGTTGGAAACGAGTTTTGCATAGTAATGGGAATAAACCCACTTACTTGGCCAATGTTCCCATTGATGAAGATGTTGCTGCAATTTAGATCTCTATGAATGATGCAAGGGTCATATGTATGAAGATATTCCAACCCCTCAAGTACTTGTTTTGACCACTTTTTCAAGGCTTTAATGGACACATGGCGATGCGTCTTCCTGTAAGTTCTCAAATTTCCCGATGTGCAGACCTCAGTGATAAAATTTAACGTGTTATGCTCTCGATCCCTCCAAACACTGTAGCAAACAATGATATACTTGTTTTTCAATGTTCTCAGCAACTGTACCTCGGATTGAAGCCTATTGATAAGCACAGGGTCTTCACTAAAGTTAGACAATTTCACTTGATTCCAAGCCACCTCTATACCTTCCTCCTGATCAAATGCCCTGTAAACCTTCTTCACTGCACCAGCACCAAGCAAATCATTGTAGCGCCCAAAGCGTCCAGTGGGATCAACCTCAACAAATGATTCTCCCTCTCGGTCAGACATATTGGTACTAGCAGCCGGCATCTTCAAAGATTAGAAACAAGAGATAACATTTACAGAATATACCTGCAAAAATTATTATCCAAACAATTTTTTTTCTAGAAACAGTTCAATCTTGACAAAACATAACGCGAGAAAGCCTGATCAAATAGAAACAAAATCCAATATTGGTAGTAAAATAAAGGGCAAAATGCAAATCAGCAACAACAAATATAATTAGCTGGAACAATAGTTGATTGTCAGGGACATGTCGAAGATTAAGGCATTGACCATACCAAAATTATCCAAGCGGTGAAATGTGTAGTTTGATTCAGAACTGAGATTGTATTATCAAAACGTACTGTATGAATAGGAAGGAAGGTAGTCTTCTATTGAAATATTAGTAAAAAATAAGCAATTAAATTGTCTTCGTCACAAAATCATTGTGATTCATAAAATGAAAAATAGAAAATGACTAGAGCTTGAACAAAAAGACATAATTGAGCATCAGTACCATTATACTACTTCAACTCAATATCAAGAATTTTGCAGCAATTAAAGATTTTCTGCAAAATAACATCCTAATATAAACCTAAATTCGTAAGGCGTTATTAGAAGCATACGTAGTATGTTGAATAAAAATTGAAATAATCAGTTAAAGAGTGAAAATTAAAACAAAAAAAGGAGAATGCAAAGTCAAATGGAGAAACAAAGATTATCAAAAGAGTATCAAATCAAGCAATCAGACTTGGAAACGGAATTCGAAATTTAATTTATAATTATATATAAAGAATGATGTCAAAAAATAAACAAGAAACGTGAGGAAGTAAACAAAAAAAAGGCTTAAAGAATCCAAAGGTTAGAATAGTCTCAATTCGTGGTTTATAACATATCATCCACAGCTGATCCACGTCATGGAAGTATCATTAGTAATTTCGAATACATATTTCTTTTTCCCGATTGATCAACCCAAATCAATATGATTCGAAAAATAAAAATGGCAAGAGCTTGAAAGAAAAAGGAAAGAGCTAAAATAGCATTACTACTTCAATTCAATATCCATAATTTTGTAGCAATTAAAGATTTTCTGCAAGATAAAACATCCTAGACCTAAATCCATACGGCGTCACTAGAAGCGCACCAAGCCCCATAGGGCCAAGTGCATCCCATTATTTTGAAAAGTTGTTAAGTTTAACTTAATGAGATAAGTAAAAAAGAAAAAAAATTAAAATTTTTGCATACCCATTATTTTTAAGATAAGAAAATTAAAATTTTGAACTCAATTCTTAAATTTCTAGATCCGCAACGCATAGTGTAATGAATAAAAAGAGCAAGATTGAAACATTCGACTAAAGAGTGAAAATCGAAAGACGAAAAGAAAGAGGTTTAAAAGATTCAAAGATTGGAATAGTTTCGATTCGTGGTTTAGGAATTATCATCCACAACTGATCCAGACCATGGAAGTATCTCCAATAATTTGCAATACATTTTTTCCGATTGATCACACATAAATTTGGCTGCCAGACAAAGAAAATTGAAATGCGTAAAAGAGAAAGAAAAATGAGAGAAGATTACCTTGGACAAGAGAGCAAAAAAGTATACAAAGAGAAGGCAAAGGCGTGTTCGCTGAGAGAAATAGTTTAGCTTAGCTTTGCTCTGAGGAGGGAGACGGGTATTCAGAGTTGCCCGCGTTTTACAATAAAAAATACTTTTTAAAATCCAGCAGAACGATGACGTTTCAGAAGAAGGGAAAAAGGAACACGTGGGGGTAAAATCACGAAGTGGGCTGCTTTTCGAATCTTTTTCTGTTATGGCTTCCTTAGTCAATACTTGGAGATCTTTTGGTTACGATAATCTTAGATATTTCAATGTATTTATATCAAAATAAAAAACAAAGCAGTAAAAGCATACACCTGGAAAACCATATTTATATTAAATATATTAATAATTTAATGAATTAATAGTTCAATTTTTAAGTATATGTTAATAAAATTATTTTATTTTTTTGACCCTAGTAAAATAAAATCAAGCAGTTCAAACAAGGTCACAAACCCATAAAATATACAGGAAAACAAGCTTCTGAAAAAGCAAATATAACCATTGCTTTCCATGGTTCTAGAAATTAATCCTGTGAATAATGCAAAAAGTGAAGAAGAAAAACAGAAAGTGACTGATCATAATATGTTAAAAACTCAATTCAACTTTCACATGTTAATAATTCATATAATGAATTTATATCAAAGTAAAGCTCCACCCATATTACACAGAAGAGAAGAGAAGAACAGTCTAAAGCTGGCTTCACTCGTGAAGCAAAAAGATTGGTCACCAAAACAAAGCATGGAATCATCTACAAAAGCAAAGAGAGAAAATCTTTTAGTTTCATGAAAATCCCGTGCCTGAATCTCAACGTCATGGGAAATGCCAACTGCTACTGCTAGAATTAATTTTTATTTTGTACATACATCGGCTATGATTCTGGAACTTTGTGTTACGTCAAGGTATACATGAGATCCTTTTCCTTTGGCCTCCGACAATTGGGACAGCCAAGATCACATTGTTGATTAACTTTAGATGTTGGTACAATTACAGCCAAGTACTTCACGGGATAAAAGTTGAAATATCTTCTGTTAGGTGTAAACTTATCAACTATACCAGCCAGCCATTCCAATATCTACTGCTTACTTATATCCATTATTATCTCTTGAATGGTTGGACTGTAGGTGCAATGATTTATTTCATAGGCACCTCTCATATACTAGTCTGCCATTCCAATATCCACCACTAGTTCACTTCTTTCTTTCTCTTTGCAACCATTGGTAGTTCCTGCACAGGCATCTCACCCCCTTCCTCTATTTGCTCCGATTTCCTTTCCTTTCGCTCTCTAAGCAGGGATAGAGTAAGTGACTCTCATTCATTCGCTTTCCAATTCTGCATCAGCCTGAACAGAGCAGTGGTTCCTTACAGAGGATTAGAAGCCTAAAACCAAGTTCTCACTGAATCCCATCCTTGACATCAATCAACACTATTAAAAGTAGCTATAAACAGTTACACAGCTGTGCAAAACTTGGGTCAAGTGATATATGGCAATTTTTTCAGATTCTCAAATAAATTTATATCATTATCAGTTCATCAGATGAGATGCTATTCTAATCTTACAGAAGAAAATTATGCAGAGAATAGGCACTCTCATCCCTATGCCCTATGCCATAGTTATTAATACTTAATAGAACCAAGACCATCCTAATTCTATTTCCTACAAAAAGTTTAAGGGTATGAAAACATCATCATCAAAGACAACGTCAAATGGATAAGAATTATGAAACAAAATAGAACATATTTTATATTTGAATCTGTCATATGTTTTCATTAAAGAAACAAAGCTAAGTTAAAGAAGAAGAAAAATCTGAAATTGTACAGTTACCCATTAAACACAAACGGGTTATCTCAAATCTCAAGTACTACTAGAGTCCAAACAACACAGTAGTATTAAACCATAATACCATTGATATTTTAAGACAACTATTGCCATGGAGGATTAGAACCCTCCCTTACAGAAGGTGACCTGGAATTCATGCTGCCATCCCTTCCAAACCTTGAAACACTTCGTACACTTTTAGGAGTAGACACCACAGGGCTTGCACCTCGATAACTGGCACGAAGAGTTTCATCCACTGAAGAAGAAGACGACTTTGCAATTGCACTTCTTACAAACTTCTGGGCAGCAGGGGAAAGTGTGCGTACACTTGGACTAGCACTGCCGCCTCTATAAGGTGATGGCAACGGTGGCTTCTTAAACATCTTTGACCTCTCTCTCAATTTCCGAGCTGCTTCCCTTGATAAGGAGTGTGCCTTCACATCTCTGGCAGGGGGACAAGGGATCTTAAAATGAGGCCCATCACCGCTACCACCGATATCAATAGGTGTATCCTCAGGTTCCAACCTCAAAGGTGTCCCTTCAATTTCACCCCAAGTAATAAAGGGAGATTCATCAATACCTGGTGCAGGTGAAGGTGTCCTTACAAAACTATAACCATTCTCTGCTTTCTTCCCAGATTGCACATAAAACTGATTCGGGGTCTTCCTCAAATCCTCCAGATCATACCTTTTGCCTTTATCCTGATCCCTACCTGACATAGGCATTGGAGTAGCACCGGCAACAGGAGTATATAGCACTTCCACGGATCCATCATCTTTTGGCCTAGAATCCATCAGTTTACCATGAAAACGAGTGTTCCCACGATTGATCTCCTTTGTCAAACCCTTCAATCTTATTGCTCGTTCCTCCTCGGTCAATGGGGCCTCACCCAGATCAGCGGGATGATACATCAATAAATTCTTGGCCGTATAATTCCACCCTTCCAATGTAGCAGTTGGCTGATCAGACGTTCCATATCCATCTGTGATCCTATCCCTCTTTACATCCTCGATTGATTTAGCATCCTTCTCTCCATTTTCGTTTTGCGTTAAAAACGCATACTTCTCTTTCTTCTTCATGTTAACCTTGTCTAAAATCTTTGAAAAGCTTTCGTTATCCTCACTCGTATACCTCCTAAAAAACTCGTCTAAGGACAAATTCGTATCAACCTCATCCTCGCTTTCCCTACAATCACCCTCACCGCATAATCCCCTACCTAAAACACTAGGGGTTTGAGGTGTATTACCATCAAACTCGTCAAAAGGAGTAAAATTCCTCATAAACGTGGAACCAGGGGTTTGAGTTTGACCTCTACCCTCAGAATTTGCATTATTTACCTTTTTGCCACGGCGTTCGATGATCTTCAATTGGGCATCACGGATTTGAATCGGATCGCCGGTCTTGATGGCTTCGAGCCAATCGAGCCGGTCTCGAAGCTTGGAGATATCTGGGAAGAAATCGCGCTCGATGATCCTCTCGATGGCAGCCACATAGCAGTCTTCGTCGAGGACCCGGGGGCGTTTTTTGCTAAGATTACTTGGGGTGATTGAGGAAGAAGAGCCAGGAGTTTGAAAAGAATTCCCGGAATATGGAGACGGAAACGGTGACGAAACGTGGCGGGGAGAGTGGCCGGGAGATTGAAGCATGGTGTCTCAGAAATCAGGGTTTTCAGAGAAGGAAATTCGATTTTATCGATTTTTATGCGTTTGTCGATATCTATCTATCTATATATTGAGCAAGATACCTTGTATATTAAAATAAGGGTATCACTTTGATTAAATTTTTATTTTCTTTACTAAATTTTTAAAATTAATAAATTAATTATTAATATTACTAATTTATAATAAATCAGTCACTTATAAATCAGTATAGTTAACATCACTTAGATGGCGTTTGGTTCGTTGGAATGTTTATGAGGGAATTAGAATTTGTGAAGGAATTGGAATCTGAATCTGAAACATGTTTGGTTGGTAGGAAATTGAATTGGAATACAATTTCATATTATGTTTGGTTCGCAGACATGTCAGATGAATTCGATTTCAATAATGTAAAATGACAGAATTGTCCTTCTTATTTTTTTGCTTAATTTTACTTTGTTTTATAACTTACATGTAGCAATATATTTTAAAATTTTAAAAAATATTAAATTTTCATTTTATTGATTGATTATTCATTTCAATAAATTATAAAAATCATACTAATAAACATCATAAGTTAAAATCATCCTAATTTGGGATTGTCATGGGTCGGGTTTTTGGTCCACCCGACTCGACCCGAGAACAAGAGAACCTCCACCTGAGACCCGACCCGACCCGACCAAAATAAAGTTTCACCCGACCCGAATATATGAATTTAAAATCTGACCCGACCCGAAATAATAAAAAAATTAATTTTATTTAATAAAAGCAGTGACTTAATTGAAAAAAATTATTTATAGAGGGGTATTATTGTAATTATTCCTAAATATATAAGGTAAAATTATATATTTTTTCGGGTCGGGTCGGGTATTTTTCACCCTCACTTAAAAAAACCCGACCCGAATATCACACTTAAAAAAAACCCGACCCGACCTGACCCGAAATAAAAAAAATTATTTTTATTTAATAAAAGCAGTGACTTAATTGAAAAAAATTATTTATAGAGGGGTATTATTGTAATTATTTTTAAATATATAAGGTAAAATTATATATTTTTTCGGGTCGGGTCGGGTATTTTTCACCCTCACTTAAAAAAACCCGACCCGACCCGAATATTATACTTAAAAAAACCCGACCAGAACTCGACCCGAATATCACACTTAAAAAACCCAACTTGAACCCGACCCGAATATCACACTTAAAAAACCCGACCCGACCCGAATATCAAACTTTAAAAAACCTGACCCGACCCGAACCCGAAATTTTTTAAAAAACCCCGACCCGAATATCACACTTAAAAAAATCCAACCCGAACCCGAAATTTTTAAAGAAAAATCCAACCCGAATACCAAAAGATTGATGAGGGTAGTATGATCAAATTTCACATTCCCTCCTCCAAAGGATTTCAATTTCATCATGTTATGGATGTAATTCTAATTCTCCTTTGAAAACTTGAATCAAACATGGGAAAGCGGTGGAATTGAATTCTAATTCCCTCTAATTCCAAGGGATTCCAACGAACCAAACACCACCTTATTATAGTTAACATGGGTGATGGAATGTTTATATGGCATGTTACATTGTTTTTTTTATAACAATAGCTCATATTTCCTT